TGATATGTTTGATGGGATTGATGAACATCATCGTTGTATGTATTTTGTTTAGAAGTCCATGATGTGTTCTACTATGATTAATGTTTTGAAGAGCACTTTGTCCTTATTGTAATATGATGTTTTGTAATGAATGAGAAGAACACTTTGGCCTTATTGTGAAGAGCATATTAATTTGTGGTCTGAATATACATGTTGTCTCACATATACAACATAAGTACGCTGGAAGTTTAATTTGAAATTAAAATAAAATGAAGAAGTGGTTTAAGCACAATGATAGTAAAACCGAATTATTTTTAATGACAAAAAGGTAAGTGTCCCCTGAACTGACAAAGATGAAGGTAAGTTACATTTACTACTTAGTGTGACCTGGACTGAAAAAGATGAGTACCTGTAAATTGACTATACATCACAATAAATAACCTCAAGTAATTTATATTGTAATTCACATTATAATCAGAAATTGGAAATCAAATTCACATCGAAAAGATAAACTATCATTGACATTGAGATTTTAAGCATCCAAATACATATTGAACTTTACAAAATACCCACATCACAGCTAACAAAATACCCACTTCAAAATGGAGTTCAAAGTACAAACTCAATGTTTATAAAGAAGCCAATAAAATGGCTATAATACTTAAGCTAAAGTCTCAATACTGTGATTGTCAAGTTCAAAATACAAGTGAAGTTGTATATAACTTCTAAAGTCCTGTTGTAGATGGTTGGGTTTGAGGTTCCTGACTTGGTCTGTACTTGGCTGGGTTTGTGGTGGCTGGACTTGGTCCTGAAGTTGGTTGGGTTTCAGGTTGCTGACTTGCTCACATTGGTTTGTTGGATGACGTTGTGGGCATGTATTTCTTTTGGACCAAGTTGTCTGCATATGGAACATCTCTTACGAGTTCCATTTTACTTTAGCTGTGTCTCATACTTCTTTAGTTCCCAAGCCTCTAGCCTTCTCTTCTTTTTTGGTCTACCAGGTAAAGTCCTTTTAGGTGGGGGCAAAACATCAGGCTGAGAAGTCATTTCTCATAGTTGATGATCGTTGACAGGGGTATATGATTGGGATGTATGTTTCTTGGTATGTTGACCTTCTAAAACCAATTTGAGACGTAGTCTTCTCCATTGATGTTTAAAAAATTCATTGCAGCTAATGCATGACAGCATGCATGCCTGTTAAAGTCCACTTTCTGCAAGTACAGTCCAATTGGTCTATGTCAACCACATACTTCTCACCAATCATTGAAGTGTGTACCTCAATACTCCTGCCCAACTGCAATGACAAACCAATTTAAATAAGATCTATAGAAACAAAAATTATAACATCAACATTAAATCCAAATTCTTATGTGTAGATGTTCACATACCTAGGTAGCCAGAATTGAGTCATGTACAATTCCTTTTGAAATCTTTTTTTATCTTTGGGCAAAGATGACCTTCAAATGTAGTTATTTTTTGTCTATTTGTTGACCATCTCTTCATGAGATACAAACGAATGTCTTCCATCATTGTAATGATGGGATTACCTCTTGCATGTAATATGATACTGTTAAAAGCTTCAGACATATTATTCACTAAGGTGTCACAAATAGCTCTACCACGTAAACAGTTACATATAATCGCTAGACAAACAAACAAGAAGAATAAATTTCAATATATGTTACCTTGGTGGAATGCTAGCAAGTGTTTAAATGCATCTGGATGACATCTTTAATATCTCTCATCACTGCCTCCCATGCTGCAGGGTGTGTTGATGATGCTACCTTCCATAATAGACGTCTTAGAATTTGGCCAGGAAATTTCTTCCTAAAGTTTGCATAAATGTGGCGAACACAAAATCTTTGCTCCACACCAGGGAGAAGTTCTGTTAATGCTGGCAGAAGTCCCTATCGAGAGTTCCAAACATGAAGTTATACAAGGTATAATACAAAAACAAGAAGGCTTGAAAGATATATAAACAGCATTGGGCTACGTTACTTACTTTTTGTTGATCTGAAATATATGTGTACTTGAACAAAGCTCTACACCACCAAGATCATCAATGAGCAACTGTAAAAACCAATGCCAACTGTCCTTATTCTCCACTTCAACAATAACATATGCCAAAGGACACATTTGGCCATTCCCATCTCTTGCAACTTCAGTTAACAACTCACCTCCATATTTCCTTTTAAGAAACAACCATCCAAATCTATAATAGGCCTACAAGACACAAAGTTTGTCTTTACAGGCCTTCAAACACACATGCATTCTCTGATATTGGATTGTCCTCATTAGGTTCAACCTTTACTTTCACAGTTGAACCAGGATTAGACCGAAGCAAATCATTTGCATAATCATAAACTCTTTTATATTGTTCTTTAAAATCACCCTCAATTCTTTTAAAAGTCATTGCTTTTGCCCTATAGGTAGTAGATCGAGAAACACCAATGTTCCACTTCTTTGAAACTTTGTTTTGGAGGTTATATAGATTAATAATATTCGGATTCTCTTTGATGGTCTTTTCTAACCTCTCACTCAACCATTTTGAAGTCATTAAACGGATGTTAAATTCTCTACTGCATGTGTGCTTGTCTATAATCTTCCTCAGCTGCCATGTATCTTCAGCTGCCTTATATGCACAATATGCATACCAGGAAACATTTTCCTTTTGCCCCACAACATCTGACACACACTCTTCTTTTGTCATATTTGTAAACTTTTAACTTCCTTCCATTCTCTACTTCATACGTTCTTATAGCTTCTGTAAAATCTTTTTTCTCAGCAAAATAGGTGCCCACTTCCCATTGATATTGCTCCATACTTTTGGGCATTGAAAAAGTACTAAAATCACCATACCCATCTCTATCATCATCATTTGTGTTATCACTTTCAACAACATTGTTAAAACTCTCAGATTCCCAATCACTTTCTGATAAACCCCAAGGTCCCCCAAGTTCTATTTGGTTACTAGCTTCAAATATATCACATTCCACTTCATCTCCATCGTCAGTGAAGACATCCTCTTCGGACCCATTCCAACTTCTAACGTCATACTCATCAGCATGTACATCACCCTCACCCTATCCATCCACACCATTACCCTCTACCTCAGTCACTCCCTCTACCTCAACTTGTACATGAGGCTCTACATAAGCCACTCCCTCAGCCTCAACTTCTACCTCAACGTCTACCTCACCTTCTATCGCACCATCTACATCAGTCACTGCCTCAACTTCAACTGGTACATAATCTTCTACAACACCATCTACATCAGTCACTGCCTCAACTTCACGTTCTACATAATCTTCTACAACACCATCTACATCAGCCACTGCCTTAACTTCAACTTCTACCTCACCTTGTACCAGAACATCTACATCAGTCACTGCCTCTACTTCAACTTCTACCTCACCTTTTACTAGAACATCTACATCAGCCACTACCTCTACTTCAACTTCTACCTCACCTTCTACCAGAACATCTACACCAGCCACTGCCTCTACTTCAACTTCTACAACACCTTCTACTTGTACTTCAACCTCTATCTCAGGCTCTACAATTACCCATTGCTTCAACCTCTGGTTGACCAACCTCCATCTCAACACCCAATTTAACACTCTCTCTGTCAACTTCACCTTACACCACTAGGTGCCACAATTTCTGGTTAAGAAGAGTATTCCAACTCCAGAATATACTCAGGCTCACACACCTTGTGTATAACATAAACGTGACCTTGACCATTCAACATAGCAATATTCACTACATGACATGCACCTTGTCATCTAGAAAAGGTTCCAAACAATCTTTAACACAGGACCACGACCCAATGAATACCACCAAGTCCTTTACATTCCATAACCACATATCCTTAAGAATGCTAATATTTCAAAATAACACTCCATCTCTGGATCAATTTTTAAAGTTGTGGTTTGGCCATTAGTGGTATCTGAATGTTCCATTATCTCAAATTTCCCCGCATGGTGAAACACAATTTCAACGTCTGAGTTGGCCATCTAAACTAATATAAAAATTGTTTAAAGTTAATGTTTGCTTAACCCAAATGTTATCTACCCAAAAAAACAAGTAAACAAAAAAAAAGCACAATTACAAAAATAATCAAATATTCACAGATAATGGGGGACAATAAACAGACAAACCATAAACAAACTTTTGAGGGGACCATAGTGAAAGCAATCAAACACAGATAAAAGGCTACAATAAAAGCACCTTCGAATCGCGATTTCCGTAATACCCACAAACGTGTCAACGCACCTTCCAAATCCAACGAAGATAGATCTATCTACGATATCTGTGCTCGCAATCTTCGTCAGCGACAATGACTCTATCTACTCTCGCACATTTCCAATTGTCCTAATCTCTCGTATAGTGCCCTAAATCAGATTTTTCCCAAAGTACAAAACCCAATCTTTATTATAGCACGGTTACTTCTATTACTAACATACACGTCACCACACACACAACAATTTATTCACACGTTACCAATAATTACTGCCACATCATCAATGCATTAACTCCGTTTCCTAATAGTTAACAGAAGGGACAAAATTGACGCAAATTTGATTAACTTTGGACATATTAAAAACACTTTCATAAATAGAGACTTAATTGACATTAACTACTGAAACTGGAGATCAAAGAGGATATTAAGCCTACATTAAATTAGAAATTTTATTCTTTCAAAAGTCTAACACTGGACAACCCAATTATTTATTTGCATTATTTATTTGCACAGAAGAATTTAGTTTTATATGTTGGGTTAAGAACTAACTAAGAAATCTAGTTGATAAGTTCTGAACTTTAATCGTTCAAATGATTTAATTTACAAAAAATTAAAGTAACAAATGAAAACTCATGGTTCAAAGTTAAAAAAAAAAAGTAATTGAGGCAATTACAAAAATTAAAGAATCGGATTCAATCAAAGGATAATTAAAAGATTAATTATAAAAAAACTTAAAAGTACACTACTAAAGTATTTTCTCTGTGGAATAGTAAAGATGTCGTCCATAACTGCTGCTATTCTGCTTTTATTTTGTTTTTTTAACATCTAAAATCATCCTTTAAGTGACCTCAATCTACATTGTTACACGCTGAAAATTTAACAAGCTACAAGGATGATACATCATCTTGTTTCCACACAACTTTCAACCCTCTTTGGATATCGTTAAAAAAAATACAGGAGGCATTTTGGTATATCCTTATAAACCAGAATTTACACTATATTTAGAAAATGATTTAACGCTACCAAAACCTCCAGATTAATGATCTGAGTTTGACATGGTTTAGGAATCTCTAGTTTCAATGCCAGCTTCTGCTGAAGTGAGGCTATCATCATTCTCATTCAACAAATAATCACAATATTCCAAAAGCATATCTGCAAGGGGAGGAATTCCAGGATTTCTACCGTCGTTGTATTTGTGTGCATTAAAAGTAATCTGCCAAACGTCATGCCTGAAATCTTCTCGGCTCTTGTACTCCATGTTCCGTACTCTCTCCCTGATTCTGGAAAGATCCATAGGCGTATCTATAATGTCCAGGTAGTCAGGAGCCTCTTTCTTCGACACTGGTTTCACGAAAAGATAAGATAGCTCGTACCTATCTTTAACCATCGTTTCCACAATGCCCTCCAAGATATTTGCCAAACCAACCTTTAGACAGAAATTGAATTAAACATACAAGTCAAGCCATGTGAAACAAACTAACATCGCTACAAAAGCATAGTAACAAAGACTGCCACCGCAGACATACCGAGTACTTCAAAACTATTTGTTACCGAGTACTTTAAACAAATCTTAAACACAAATGACATTCTTCCTTCTGGGCATATTTTATTCACAAATGACAATCTATTGCTAATTTGCTTTCTACTTAATACGTATGAAGATGCAATACATGAAAATAAAATATCCACTAAATAAAAAAAAGTAACAAACATAGAAATGTACCTCTCCCCCTCCCCCTCTTCGGCGTTTTGTTGGCGGCATATAATCTGCACTAAGCTTTCCTAACTCAGCAACAGATCTCCTTTTTCCACTCCTGTCTCTTTCAGGCATTCTCTTATCATGTCTTCTTGCTCTGGGATCATCTAAATACTCATCTCTTAAATCAGGCTTTTTCTTCTTCTTTTTCTTCTTAGCCTTTTGCCGTTCTTCTTCCTCCCTCTCTCTTCTGATATCTTCTTCAAATCTTTTTATTTCATCTAACCTTTCTTGCTCTTTGAGCATCCTCATTTCTTCTTTGTGATGCCTCCTTGCTCTGTCTTCTTCTCGAAGTCTTGCATCATTTCTTCGTTTCTCTTGCTCTTCCCACCATCTTCTGTCCTCTTTAGTGTTCCATTTTGGAAAAGCTCCAGTTCCATACACGGTCTCCTGTTTCTTTTGTTTCTCAAAATTTGACAATTCAACAATTCTTTTTGTCTTTCTGTGTTGAAGTCCAGTGTTTCCACCAGGACTATCCAGTTCTAAATCAATAACCTCCTTCGTACGTCTTATAACAATCCTTTTGTGACTTTGCTCCTCTGTTGGTGGTCGTATTTTAATTGGTAACTTGTGATAATCAACCTGACCTCTGCCTGTATCAGTAGGAGGTCCTCTACCTGAATCGGCAGGAAGCCCTCTACTTGATTCAGTAGGAGGCCTTATAACAACAGCATGCTTACGAGATTCAGCCTGTGTATCATCTGGTTTCACTTTTTTGGGAATAATTATCTTATTAACCTTAGCAGACTTTGCAGTTTCTGAATCCGAAGTGACTGGTTTGTCAGAGTTCTGCAGGGTCTCTGTTACAGGTTTATCAGAAGATTTCTCTGTGGAGCCACATTTGAATTTCAGTGGAATTTTTGCCGAATTGTCAACAGGAGTAATCTTTGAGTTGCTTTTCGAACTTGACTTTTTGGAGGCGGTTTTAGACTGGGAGTGACTGGAGGGGTCCACAGATATGGGTTTCCCAGATGATTTTTCCATATCTGCAGATTCAAGTTGAGTTTCAAGATCTTCACCATATTTTGGACAGTTCTTGTTTGTTCGCATATGCCCAGGCTGGTCATAAACGAAATAATTATAACACAATATTGAACAGTGGAGAGTAAAACTTTAACATAATCAAGGATTTTTAATTTCTAGATTTTATTAAGGTAGAAAATACAGAACTACATCGGTTTCCTGATCACACTTTGTTTTCAAAATACACTTGCCTAGTTACAGTTTACCCTCACATCCACAAAAGTGAATTTAAAAAATACCTTTAATTAAAAGCATCGAACCTAAAGCAACATGTAATAAACTAATTTTAAAGTTTAAGTAAATAGACTGTAAACCAAACCATGAAGCATCCACTCATATACACAGGAGGCTGCCATTACACACACACACACATTCAACATGACAAAAATCTAAATTGAGACTTATATATTTCATATTCGATAAACAAGTTTACAGTTTTCATATAAGGATGACTCTCCCAGATGGAATACTAAGAAACATATATAGACAACTCAAGATACACACACCTGACCACATGCTCCACAAACAAAAGTTTCCCTTGATGGTTTTTTCTCCTTAAACACCTGGTTCTGCATACATAAATCAGAGATAATTTCAGGAAGCAGAGTAAAATTTGAAAATATTATTACAATATAGATGAAAGAATGCAATATAATCTCCCTGGAACAATCCAAACAAAAAACTCAGACAACCACATACAGAGTTCAACAAGCTTTTAGCACATCTTTAAAACACAATAATGTATTGCAATCTGAACAAGTATCAAGAAGACTAGTTCCATGTATTTACTTCCATTCTAGCAATTATTGATAAATGTTTCGAATAGTTGCAAACAAGGACAGTCCTAATTTATCAATAATGCAATGGAAAGAAATGCATTTACTATGATGTAAACTTTGGATTTGACCTTAATGGTTAAGCTCCCTTTATCAGCTTGCCTAAGGTTGATCCAAGGTTATTAAGATCAAGAGAAGAAAAGATATTTACGACAAATTTAAATTTTAAATGAATATACATGCAGCAGTCACACTCAAATTAGGGTTACAATTCAAAATACGAGAAGAAAATATTTTTACAACATAAACAACTAAAAGACTAAAAAAATCTACAAAAAACAGTCAAAACTTTGTTACGGCCATGAAAATACCTGTTGCTTTTTACATAAACTCAACCACTTGAAATGGTTTTTTGAGGAAGAAAAAGGAGAGTGATGAAACAGATTAAATTCGATCACTTACCTTAATTCCTTCTCCCATATTCAATTTGATTTTTTTATTGGGAAGAGAAATAGGTGCAATATCATTCTTCTTGGCTTTATTGACCTTCAGTGATTTACTTTTTTTGGCACCAAAATTTTCCTCCTGCCAAAACTATGAAATAAAATTAGGACTCATTTATAGAAAATTAAGTCTTCACATAATATTCATATAAATTGTGAACTAACAGTTTAAACAAAGATGCAAACGACAGGACAATGTAAATAAACTAATTATCATCCTACCTCCCTAAGATCTGTAATCGTGTCCTCTTTCAAGGGAATATTTCCATCTAATTGTAAACTATTTGTTATTTGCTTAACTTGTTCAGCATTGTCGAAGGCAAATTTTGATTGCATCTTTGATACCAATCTTGTTTCTTCCCCAGTTACTTTAGTTTTCTTCTTTTTCTTCCTATCAGCTTCATCATCTGCATTATTATCGCCCAAAACAAAAATGGTCAAATATGACAAGTAGCACCTGAGTTCAATTTCAAAATATTGATCCAATTAACAATCTATAGGCATTGCATTACAACAGCCCCAAAAACATCAGCTTTGGCACATTCAATGCTAACAATATCTGGTAATAATACTTCAATGATCAACACGTTGTCATACCATCCATGAGCAACCTGCACAATTCAGCAGCCTCAGCGGCTTCATCTTCTATTTCCTCCTCTGCCTGAGCCAAAGTTGAGCGTCTTCTCATTTTAAGACCCTTAACACCGTCTCCCTTGTCACGTTTTAAGTCATTTGTACCTTCTTCTCCCTCTTCAAACTCCTCAGCATCAAGTAAATTTTCCAGGTCTCCAGCAAAAGAATCCAGATCACTATTACCTTCCGAATCACTCTCATTCTCATCAGCATTTACAGCCGACAGACTCTGAACTTGTCGATCCCAAATCTCCTGGCATTTTTCTCTAGTCTGCTGCTGTAACTGAAGAAAGGACATTCGCTGGCCACGAGCATATTTGCTGATAGTTGTCGGATCAACCTTAACCCCAGATGCAGCTTGCTCACTTGAAAGTTTACGTATCATAGCAATGCGATGCCACCTGGTTTGTTTAGCAATGACTTCCTCAGGAACATTGAACTTAAGAAGAACCTGGATAAGAGAAGAACATAGATTAAAAACAGGAATGGTACATAGTAAACATAAAACGCTATTCCATCATTATAATTGCATTCAAAAGTCAAGTAGACACAAATAAGGCAAAACCAGACAAATTGAGTTGTGGAAAATTAATTTGCTGCTTAAGCAACTATGGTTATGTTGGGATTTTATTAGTGTCACATGATTTTGTACAACAAATTAAACAAACTGTGATTCTCATTGCTAATGCCTAGGATATGATTAGATGGAAGAAGACCTAAGCGGTGAATTAACCAGTGAAGATGCTTATTTACATATTAATTATTCTAAACCACAGTTTTCTAGGGGGAAAAGAATTTGAAGCAAAGTCATTCTTCCTTCTAAATATTTATCCCATGGAGATTGTTACATAATAAACTGCCTACAGATTAGCTACTTAGGAAATGTATTTTTATTTTGTCCAGTTAGATTATGGACTTGGCTTGAAAGCATCATGGATCAGCAGCTGGACACTTTAATAATTAAGACACATATCCATCCAAATAGGAATTGGAGTAAGATGCTGGCAGCAGTGATGCTATCCTCTGTCACTCAACAGCAAAAATTTGGAATGGCAAAAACCAGATCAAATTTGAGGGACTTCAAATACTTATTAAGAATAGAAAATTCTCATAACTGCGATAGCTACAGGTTATATGCAATCTAATTAAGTATAAAATTCTTTTACTATCACTTGCAGGTCAAGGAAAGCAAACAATATTATTCAACAAGATTGGTATATACTCAAAATGTAGTTTGGACGTGGAATCCAGATGGAGCTTACACTACATATGGCAACAAAGCAGCATTTAGGGGAATTTTTACAAATTCAAAAGTTGAGAACATGGGCTGTCTAGCAAAATTTTTTACAAGCAAATTCAACTTTGAAGCTAAACTCTTGGGCGTTATTCAGGCTACTGATATCACTACCTAAAAGGATTGGAAAGCTCATTGGGTGGAGACAAATTCTTTGTTTGCTGCAAAAAGTTTTGTCTAATAGTTCTTTGGTTCATTGGAAATTACAAAAGAGATGATACCGGGGTGGAGTCTATTAAGGGTATACAATTTAGTAATTCATACATTTTTAGAGAGTGAAAATGGGGGATGCAGAGCCTCCTTTGTCTTTGATTTTGGTAGTGATAGCAATCTATCTTTTGATTAGAAAACCAATATATATAGAGAGAGAGAGAACAAAAACTACTGTTTGGAATAAAATCTGCCTTAATCTGCGCAGTTAAACCCACCAAATCTGGCTTGGGAAGTGAGGGTTATACTTCACTTATATACTTTAATTAAACAACGATGTAGAAAAGTGGGGGATCTAAGATGTCAAGCATTTCAATTGGCAGGACCAGACATCTGTGGATAGTCTAATAATAGCTAGATAGTGAGTAACTAAGCAAGCCTAGCAAAATTCACTAAGGTAGACACTGCTACTGTCTTAAAATTTGTATTTGGGTCATTAACCTTACAAAACCGATTTACAAGCTAAGTGTTACCCTCCACTTAAATACCTTAATTTGGTCGTATTTTTAATAAATGTAAGAACTCCAACAGATATCAAAACATTTTTCTGCAGTAACTTTCATTTTTGAGATGCAGCTTGTCTATCAGTTCAGTACATAAACAAGATTCACCATTAATATCTCCATCAATATCAGCTTCCTTCATAGCACAATTGAATACAACACGAGAAGAAAAAAAAACATACTTTGCTGCAACAAATTTCATTTTTGAAGTGCAGCTTGAGAAAGTTTATTACAAAACAAGATTCTCTATTAATATCAGCTTTCTTCATAACACAATTGAGTACAATATATGAGAAAACTATCACCTGCCAGAAAGAAAATGATAGGTTCTTGTGATCAAGAACCTATGGAAAAACACTCGAGAACACACAAAGACAAATTCTCTGAATTATACAGCCTCCTTTTATTGAAAAGAATCAACAAGAATGGTGTTACAACGTAACCCGAGAGCTTAACCTCCCTCCAAAGAACTACAAGAGTTCCCGCGAAACAATAACACTCCAAAACTATTCTCAACCAACCACTAATCCCCCCTTTTATATCACTTACTAACAGCACTAACAGAAACTATTCCTAACTGCCAGCAGTTAGGCTCTGTACAATTAACTCCCTAACAGAAAAGCCTTTTTAACATCAAGCTCTATAGCTTACATAAGCATATACAGTTCAGAACAGATCACCAAAATACCACGCACCTCTCGTGCAGCCTCCATGCTTAATCTACGCAGATCAGCATCTGTACCAGTAACAGTGGAACCTCCACGGTTAGCAGCTGCTTTCTTCTTCACCATTGCACTAGACACTGGTGCCTTTGGAGGTGCCCGAGCATAGCTGAAACCCATGCCTCGACCAGAAGGATCACCAACACCAGTAATTTCCATTCGTTCAATATTTTCCTTGCCCTGCTAAAAAATATCCCACCAATGTAAAATAAATAGCATACAGAAAATTAATTTTAAGAATACAAGCAAATTATCACTACACCATTGCTGCCTGTTTTTAAACTCCAGTATAACATATATTTTCACCTGTATTCAAATTCTATTGAATTCATATGACAGTAAACAAATAAAAGAATTGCAGTAATTGTAGGAAACTTAAGGATGTAGAAAAAAAATCTTTCAGGACAAGTCAACTTGTGCAAATGTCAAGAAGCAAAAAGACCATCTTATCAACATAACACTTGCACAGCTTAAGAGGTTACCTTTATAACATACTTCAGCGAACTTCTATTTTTGGGCTCAATTATTAAGTCGCAAAATATAAATTACAGGTAAGAAATTAGAAAAACAAGTTTTTGCTTTTATAAGTAATGGGGAAATATAGTGGATAAGTGAAATGTTTATCTTTTTGCAAAACATAATTGTATTCTATTATTTCTTTAGCTACCACTCCAGAAATTTTACTCCATCTTTTTGAGTCAACTAAGTTCATCCACTTCAAAAATTAAGAAAATTTGATCCTGCCTTTAATTTTCTTCTACCACAAACCCTGAAATAGTAAATTTTCAATCCTAATAATAAAAGTCTTAACACGGCAACATTAAGCTCAGTCAAAGATCAATTCTTATATTACTTTTTAATCGAACATTTGACGACTTGTAATATAATCAATATTTGAAATCATTTTATTGGTTTAGAAGTCATAAATTTAGTGAAATTTTGATCAAATTTAAGGAAACTCATGAAATTTGAGGATTTCATTAGACTTCATTCATTCTAGGTGAAATTTGATGTTTTAATTGGTGTGTTTTGAATTAAAAAATATTTAAAATAATTCAAAACAATTACCAAGTAAAAAATGGGAATTTGAGGTACTTGGTAACAGAAAATTGATAGCAGAATACCTTTTGCTTCATCTTAAACACACTCGAGTTAATGAGCTTGGAAAAAACAATTCTTGGCACCAAAATTCACTCAGTCTACACTTAGTGTAGTCAAATCTAATTCAAAATATTCTTTGCTCAAGAATTCTCAGACCCTCTCAAAAGATTCTGTGAAAAACAATAGCATGTTTCCAAGTTTCAAATTCGTGTAGAAAATAATAAACAAATAGTGCACATGTATGAGATCATTGCATTTAGTAGAAATTTTTAACACAGCCAGGATAGATGCCAGTGCCAAATAAACTGTTTAACATAGATCACCTGGCTTGTACAAGCAACAAAATTGCTACTCAAGTTCCAAGGAGTAATCTGCAGTTCCCTCTCAATGTGTGATGCAGCAGCCAATGCTATTGCTTCATCAGGAAGCCGATTCATTGCAGACGAAATATTTGTAGGGTGTGTTTCAGTTATTCCTAAATGTTTTAGTCGGTAGAGGCCTGCTTGCATGCTTTCATAGGCACAAACCTAAAACAATTTAAGATAAATACAACACAAAGAAGGAATCTTATTAAACGAATTAAGATAACAGGATATATTATCAGTAAAGCAAAAAGCACCCAAATTTGGAACGGAGATTGACATGCAGTTATCCCAAGCTAAGCAACATGCAGATTATAGACTACCCAATCATAAAAGCAATACAACGTGAGAATGCATAACCATGTTGCGCATCCAATAAAATGCATTGTTACTTAATGAACCCTTATTATTTCTACAATCCAAAAGCATAGTATGAATCAGAAAGAAGTCTACAAATCATGCAATTCAAATATTAAGATTCAGAAAACAGCCTCCAAACCTCCACAAAAAATTTTAAATGACTTTTTTTACTATTAATAGTACATTTCAACAGAAAGACATGTCTTAAATTATAAATAAAAACAAATCGAATGTCATATGATATAACTCACAAGCTCCGGCAGAACCATTTTTCTCAATTCATCCTCTGACCAAATGCGGAAATTTCTCTTTTTAACCAAAATCGACTGTCCATTTGCTCCCCTCTGCAGTAATAGATAACATTCAGGAATACAGAAAACAATAAAAATAACAAATTGAGATTGTAATTCCAATAGAAAACTATTTTGCAGAAATTTTCATTTTTCTCTTTTTATTTGAAAACAATGAAAATGTATCATTCGAGAAAATTATTACTTTTATTTTTCATTTCCTATTTTTGTAAATAACAAAAAACTTTCACCTTTTTTACTTTATTTCTTTTCAAAAATCTGTACAGAAAACAATGAAAATAATTGTTATTTTACTGTTTCTATACACATTGTAATAAACCAAACAAGCCATAAAAAATTCTGTTAAGCATTCATATTGTAACAGTAAGCTTTGTGACACTCTTGTACCTGTAAATTTGCATATTCCTTGATTTTCTTACGAAATGATGCTTCCGACTGGTAAGGAAACTGTGAGAGAAATTCATCAACACGGATATGAGGAGGCAAGTGCCGCTTCTCTGCTGCTTGGAATTCACGGCACATGTGTACCAACAGCCTGTTCATCATGTAAGTCTGAAGATTTTTACTTCCTGGTGAAAATACCTCCATGAGTGGCTCCTGCAAAGAGTAATTTAGAGAAACAAGTTAGCACAAATCACAAATATAGATTGGATTTTTTATTCCTTCCATTGTGATATTCTCAGAGACAAAGCACTGGAATTCTCAGAGACAATGCAGTATCATACAAAAACCTACAAACCTGCTGTCCAACAACATTAATTTTATCAATGCGCCTTAATGATAGCTTTCCCTTTGGTGAGCGAACCAGCAGGTAGTCAGTTAGTGGAACTTTATGAGGAAATACGGGTGCTCTATACATATTTGTCTCTAGTGATGACTGACAGCAACCAGGTTTCAAATCTCCAAGGAACGGAGATTTATCTGCAGGATCCAGAGAAATAACGTGCCCCAAGCTACTATCTGTGTTACGTAATAAAGAGCCAGATTGGTCATCTGGTGAGCATTTTTGATAGTATGTACAAAGTCTTGCACCCATTCCAACATTGCTCAAAAGTAAAGGTCTTTCTTCACAATACCTACAAAAAGAACATATTCAATACCGTTAAAAATATAAAAACTTAAGAGAAAATGTGTGAAAGAGAGAATATTGTGTTGGTCAAGGAGTACAAACTGGAATTAAAATGTGTACATTAGTTACAAAAACAGTTACTAACAGTTGGCATTAGTAACTTACTAGCCACCTAACATGATACAAAAAACTATGTTAACAACTAACTACTAACAGTGCACTTGAAAACTGAACTGTAAAATAGACTAAAATAAATGCAATAATTCCCAGAATCCTAATGGGGTATCCTCAACCCTCATCCATTTAACTAGGTCCCAAAGAGAAACAAAAGTGTATCCCAATTCCAGGCAACAAATTAAAAAAAAAAAACATTAAAGTCAACCTCAACATTGTTCCTAATATAATAGAGTTGAAGTCATTAGAACATACTTGATATGCAAAAACAATATAAATTGCAAGGATTTTTATTTTCAGATGAGTATTCACTAATACACAAAATTGTTAAGGCAGAAACTGAGTAGGTAGAATTTTATTATCCCAGTGATTCCCTCTCTACAACTGAGCCAATGCCCAATTCACGAAAATGCTAACAAAATTAAAGAATACTTCTACCATTCTTTCCCTATTTATATAATCATATCTAATTTCTCTTACTATCTAACACCATGGTACCATCCTAGTCTTACCTAAATTTCAAACAAGGAAGAAATATAAACATAAGAAATTACACAACAAGCGAAGTAACAAGTTGGAGGGCTGTTTGGTAAAAAAAAAATACTTCCAAAATTTAGTCAGCCAAAGTCAACACCCCAGAACTTGCAAATGGAAATGGATATATCACCAGGCAAAAGAAAAAAATTGCATTTAGCATCAGTAATATGTGAAAACAAAAATGTTTTAGGAGAATTCAAGATGCAAAGGATGTTATTAATTATTAACCAAAATGGCACTGTACCTCTGAAATTAGTAACTTGTTATTCCCAATCTACAAAAAATGAAACTTTTCTCACAGCAAGTGAATAATAAATATTATCGTGTACCATTCTCCTTCTAGCCTTCAACACTTCCCCCACCTACCACCAACAACACACAAGAGGGAAGGGAAAAGAAGAAAAATTTAGAATAACCTAACAAATATAAAACAGACAGTGGAAAAAAACAGAACAAGATACTCGACCATGAATGAATATGCCAGAAGAAACTCAGTCACCCATTTCTACATGTCAGTGGACTCGTTGATAATATACAGATTCTCTAATGAATACACTCTGATCAATATTGCTTTGAAGAGTATAGAGCATTCTGTTAGGTTTCTTTATTCAAGAAACCTGGTCGATCTCTCTTGTCTCACCAAAAAACACACATCACAGAATTGAATGTATAGTATATGAATTATTAACCTTCATTGTATGGAAAATAAAAGTATTCACCCCCTCAAGGAAGCCTAAATCCCTCCACTGGAACAGAGTTCCAGTCTATACCCAAAAGTAAAATATGAATAATACCCTCTCCTCAGCAAACTAAGTTTTATTTATACTCTCTCTCTACTAACTAACTAACCACTTTTCCCGCCTTTAATTCCCTCCTCTTTTATTTCTTCTCTCATATACTTTTAACTTCCTAACACATACTAAGACATTTGCTCTCGTTCTTCTTCATTTTGTTTATTTAGGAGAATATTAGTCTCCCCATAGTTGTGCTTCTCTTTTTTCCCACTGAAAATTAATTTATCGAATATAAGATTCTTCAAAAAAAAATTATAAAAAAGAAAATAGATTGTTATACACGCACATAATCCTGCGAGTTTGAGGGACACATGCCCATTGCAGATTGCAGGAGGCAAAGACAGTACTCTGATTGCATGGTTGCTCATGAAATTGCAGGATCATGCACCACATTGTTCCGCTTAGGTTTGAACACACAGGCTCAAGAGTTAAAACAGCGCATTTCTAGGTTAAAAGACTAAAGGTTGACCAGAAAAAGAAGCCCAAATCACATGGCCCTTTTGTTCTGCTACTGTTGTCAAACAACTATCAGTCTCGTTATCAATAGCCATCGAAGCACTAATGCTGCTGCTACGAACACTAGCCTCACCATTGTGAGCTACCACAACACTCATGACCATCATGCCGATGTTGCCTTCCTCATCACCAGTTTGCACTGTGTTCTACTCTGTATTTTCCTCTTAATACTTTTCTCTGTTCTTGCAGGAGAGTAATTTTATAAATTGTTAACCCGCTTTTAGTTCTGTTATGTATTGAAGCTAACTACTTTGAGGATCCTTACGAGTTATTTTATTGTCTATATTATTTTTAATGCATGCACCAGTCTATAAATATGATTTTTCGTATACTCATAACTCTTATGACTCAAGTTATGAACTTCGAGTCACAAATTTATATCCCCTTCAAATCTTATGATCCTCAGGTTTGACAGCTTTAAAGGGGAATGAATCAGATATTATGCAAATTCAATAAATGAAATAGACCCATAATGATTTGAAGACAAACTCTTGCAAATTGCATAAAATATAAAAGCTTGCAAATACATAGAATATATCAATATATTATAATACATCTAAGTTAATATTAATTCAGTGCTTCAAAATACATAGGATAAAAGTTTCAAGTCACTTACTCCATCAGAAAAACATGACCGTCTTTTACAGACAGATCAGATTTTTTCTTGAATGCCCCAGGAGGACGCAAGGACTTGTTCTCCCCAGGAACCCTCTGTGCTTTTGGCCACAAATGTATCTTTGAACGAACAAGATGTATCAAGGAGTTTGGTTGAACATTTTGTTCAGCAAGTGACTTCTGATCTTCAAGCTCCCTCCCTAAATAAAATATTTTCACTGTTTCCGATGCCTTAAAATCTACAAAAAATCTCATATCAGCCATACAGAAGGGAGAAAGTACACTAAAATCTAAAACAAACTTGCAGCCTCATAATGATTTTAAATCCATAACAGAAATTAGAAATTTTATTATAGAAGGAAAAATTCACAACCTAGCTTTTTGGAAGCTTTTGCTTTAACAGTTGAGAGAGTTTCATCAGTATCCACATGCAATTTACTCCCCTTGCCACCCAAACTCTTGATAATAATCTTCATGGGTCCTTGTGTTGGCAATTTCCCTTGTTCTTTGACAGCAACCTCATTGTCATGGGGATACCATAATGCTTTTGGCCGGTGAAAATTTGCAATATCTTTACTGCAAAAGAGTTTGGTAAGACTATAATGACAGAAAATCTACAATACACATGTAGACAATAGATATTAAAACCCCATATAAATTATAGAACTTATGCCTCACTTATACACAAATCAACAAAGGTTTTGCAAGAACTTGATAAAGAACATAAGAAATCTCAGCATTGTTATAGACAACTAACAGATAAACAAATGGACTGGTCAAATGGTGACTGATTATGAGCTAATATAGAAACTGTGAGCTAGGTTCAAACTTCAAATTCAATGAGTTGTTCTCTAATAAAAGCACGGGTGTCAAGGTCTATTATTGTTTTGCAATAGCATTTCTGATGCAAAGGTCAAGATGTAAAGAATCAATCTTTCTATCCACCACAAGCTGTAACTGGTGGAAATCATCCAAAGCATTATGATAGAGATTTCTCCAGAAATTTTGCTACCAGGGACGTTTGACAATAGATAAGGAGCTATGTTGATGGACATAAAATAAGTTATGTAGTAAAATGATAAGAGTGCATGTATGCACCATTTGATGGTGGAGAATGAGACAGGTTCAGTTAAGTATACAGAGTGGGATTTAGTTGCATGAAATGTTCAGTGACAAAAGAAATGAACTGCAAACTTGTATTTATATTAAGTGAATCAGCGTGTGAAATGAGATCCATTTAAATGGTATACTATGAAAAAATTATAACAACAAACCTACAAGAAGATAATGCATCAAGTAACCAGTCTACAAATCATGGACTCTATCCATTTAAGTGTACAACAAAAGTTCACCCACACTCAGACAGATGAACAAACACATTTTTTTCAAAAAGATGGTGGTTTGAGAAAAACTGTGGACTGAAGTTATATTATTCAAGAATATTGCATAGAGGAAAGAACGATAGAAAACCCAAACAAGTGGAGATATGATGCTCTTACCATATTGGGTATATAGTAGCCTAATTATCAAGTAACTCTAAATGTAAGATTTTACCTGAAGTTCATCTTAAAGAATATAATATTCTAAGCCAAAACATGCTACGGACCAAAAAGCTACCTCCTCCAAACAAATAAATACTTACTTGCTCAACTTCAATTTCATTGTCTGCAGCTTCAACGCAGGTTGAGAGTGGAAAACTTTGACACCATGTGCCGAGCGTTTTTTGGAATTTGATTTCAATTGTTGAGAAGTTTTACGATTTGAATAATGTTTGTCATTAGACACATATCGCCATCCATATTGACTTCCATGTCCTGGTACTTCAGATGAGTCCCCACTGCTTGATTTTGAAGAACGAGTTAAAATTATAGCCCCAGCATGAAGACGAAGATGTGCACCATCCTTGCTATCCAAAACTTCGAAGTGCATTTGATCATCCTGAAGATCAAAGATAAGCTTTGGTTTCACCACAGGCTGATCAACCTCCTCCCATATTATCTCGTCTAACCAGGAACCCTCCATCATGTCTCTATTTTTAGATATAGCCTTGCTAAAACGTGTAATTTGACCACTTTGATTATGTTTAGATATCTCACCCTCTTTTCCATCTGCAAGAATAGAACTATCCACTTCAGATCTGGATTCTAACCTTAAAAGTTGGGGATGAAAAAGACTTCTAGATATTAGATTGGTTTTAGCTTCAGAAGAATCCCTTGAGCCAAAGGCCTCCAACGAGACAGGCGAGCTGAGTAAGACATTATGATCTTTATCTTCCAGTATCTTGTGAGGCTCCAGCTGAATATTCTGGATCCCACTTTCAATTTCTATTTCACTGCCACCAGAAACTCCCAACTCTGGTCCAGAAACTTCACAGCTTTCAATATTATTATTACTTTGAACAGGAGAATTGCCCCAAATGATTTCATCTTCCCAGTCTTGCTGATCAAGAGGATAAAAGTTGGTCCATATGAAAGGATGATCTTTCCAGGAAAGGTCTTCTTCAAAATCCCCTTTCATTGGTTCAGCACTATGACACGAGTCCTTTGATTGATGATCATCTTTCCTGGCCACTGAGGGCTCAGTATGAAGAAACCCAAATTTTGGAAACTCCAAGTCAACATCGTTGCTTTCTGATACATCATTATGAACTACAGAAACTTGTTTAGTCTGTGAGAGACTCTGGGAGGAACCCTTGAGGAACTCCTCTTCATCCTCTTCTACAAAATCATCAGTAAAATCCAAAGACTTGTATCTATCTGTAAACATGACAGGTAAAATGCCCATTAGAACAGAAGCCCACATACAAACACAGCAAAAAGATAGCACTCATTTTTCCATTCAAATCTCACCATTGGCAGCCCTTAATTTCCCTCACATACTGTACAAATAGTGCAACAACAATTTTAATTTTCAAATCATCTCTCTCCTAAAAGATACAATAGACTGACACATAAAAAGAGAATTCAGGTAAACATTTCCAATCTCCAATTACCTCTAGTAATAGGTTGCCGGTGTTCTCTCTTTTCTCCCTTTCTGAGAGGTTCATGAATGCCAAAGATTTCAGAGAAGCGTAAAATTGCCACACCATCTTCCACACATAAAACAGGCAACGGCATAGCCATAGACCTTTTCTGGACTTCAGTCCCTTCCTGTTTGTTTCATCAATTAAGAAATTAATGTCAATAGAAAGTCAAACATGATCTTTTTTAATCCTATCAACAATAATTATCATCAATGTTAGAGAAAAAATATGCTAGTGTAAGCATTACTAATTGGCTGGGCTTATAGCATGGTACCACAGTCGGTATACTTCACAGTTAATAGCAAATACACACACAAGTTGCCAACTTGTCATCAATTTGATGCATACATCACAGAGAAATCCTTTTACTCTTCACCACCCCACTTTAGCCCTTTACAAAGCACCAAACTGAAATGCCATCCTATTTGCTGTTTTTTTAAATGCATCAAGTAAAATAATAAATAGGCCAGCAAAACCACCATTTCAAAACAAAGTCGAGAGTTATGTGCAATTATGCATATTTCAAGTAGCAACTCGTCAAAAACTTAAAACTGTTTGGCACAGGCTTATATCACTGCTTGTCCCACGTCTCCACTACAACAACCAACTTTTCCCACTAGGCAGAGTTGAATAAAAGGAGCAAACAGCACCACAATGTCCCCAAGATTATTTTAGGTTTCAATTTGCTGTCCACTTGAATTAATATTATTTGGTATTCGAAACAACTTATTATTCAACTTTTACAGATTAATATTTTCATATTTCATTTTGGGGAGGGTGTGAGGGGAGGGTTTGAGGTCACTATAAGGGAGCTATCTTTCCCTAAAATTAATCAAAAGCAAAAGGGGACAAAATTATGAAGAATGAGGATCATAGGGTGACATTGGCAAAGGATTGAATTCCTTAACATGTGCTCATGGGCTCAAACCACACACACACACACACATATATAAACATACACAAACACACTGGATTATCATTCAGTGTCAATATAGTTTGAGTACTACATAAAGTAATGCAGTATATGCCCTCATTGGGTAGGCAGCTTCAGTCAAAAAATTACTTATGTGATCAGACTTCAATTCTCTGTATGGACAAGTTTGGCCTTATATGAGTACACCAATTTTAGTATTTCCTACTTCTAATTAAGATTGCATCCAGTATAAACGAATTTAAAAGATATATCAGGATCAATCAGTTTTCTTAATAACAGAAAATGTTCTTCTATTTACCCAGCTTATTAATCAGAAGATCAGCCCTCCACATTATATCAACTAAGCCATCCATCAAATCTTTTTATCTATATAGTTGAATCACTTATATTCTCATCTGCAAGACTACAAGTAACCTAATAAAAAATATTCAATATACAACTTGAAGGTATGGTTCAGAGTAAAAACAGTACATACATTCCCTTTAATCATCAGAATAGTACAGAACTTAAATATCATTCATGAGAATTGTTAGAATATATGAAGAATATCCAATGATATCTACATAATATCATAGAATATCTTATCTCTTGGGATTAATTTCCATATATTAGTTTTATGACTTATTTCCTCATGTAGCTGGAACTTCAGATTATGATTTAGTATAAGAATAAATAAAGGATAGTTGTTTATATCAAGTCAAATATCAATCAAGGTGCCTTCAGTCTCTCTTATTTCGTTTCCATCCCTTTATACCCAAAACCCTATTATAATTTCAAGAAGAATAAATATCAAACGCCAAAAAGAAATATTTAAGAGGTGGCAAAATTGAAATATACCTCCTCAGGTTTTTGTACATCGGCATCCAATTCTTCACTTTGCAGTGAGTCAACATGTAATTCACGTTCAAGAGCACTCTCTTCTTTAGATGCCTCTACCAAAGTCTCTTCCTGCTCCTCTGAAAGAACAAAGCTAGCATATGTGAACTGCAAGATTCCAATATAATATGAGGTACATCTACCATTTATTAAGGGAAAACAAGCAATTTTATTTTTCTTTCCTAAAATTTCCAAGCTTTCAAATTAACATATAATATTGATGGTTCAGATGACAAATACAAAACTTGGTTGATAGTCAAAGTCTACACACAAAAAACCAGGATTGATTTCTTAAATACTTTCTAGTAAGTGGTCAAACTTACTCCTGTAAGGATCTTATTAATCATTTATTGCAAAAAATTGGACCCTATACCAACATTTAATACATTACTATTACACATAACACAACCCTTTCTTATTTATAAAGGATAGATTTGATTCCATAAATTGTCTTATTCATTTGTTTCTTTAATAGGAATAAAAGAAACAATATCAATATTGATTTCTTTCTCATATGCAATACATCGTTTGACCAAAGAGATACAAACACTTAGTAAACTAAATTGTCTCATTGTGACACGTCCTAACATTGCCTTTGTAATGAGTATAGTCATTCAATTTATAAACTCTCTTTATTAAGACCATTGAGCTGCAGTTGTACAAACCCTAAATCCTAAAGGCATTATTAATGAAGATGAGGGAAATACTCAAATTGGTTGGTACTCTAACATTGATTGGCAGTGTCATCAAGTATAGAAGCTTCAGGTATCGTGTTCTTGTTGGAGGTAACTTAATATTGTAAAAAAGTAAGAAACAAACTGTTCTGGCAAAATCAAGTGTAGAAACAGAAAAGGCATTAGACAATTATAAGCTCATATGTCAAAAGCAACACGTCCAAGAGCTTAAATTTGAAGAAAATTCCCAAATACACCTTTTATGTCACAATCAAGCAGAATTACGCACTGCTTAAAATTTTATCTTCCAAACATATTCAGGTCAATTATCATTTCATGAGAGAAAAGTTGGAGTTTGAAAATATTGCCACTCGATTTGTCAATTGTAGTTAACAGTTGGTACACATTTTCACCAAGGATTAATCATATTTACAGTAATATAAGCACATGACTTATATGCTCCAGCTTGAGGGGGAATGTTATAATTATAAAAACAAGATAGGGATCATTTATAATCAAGAATATCTTCAATAATCTTTTAGAAACAGGAATACCTAGGTTATAAAATATTATTAGGAATATTGTTATATTCCTGTGTCATATTAATATTTTTATTAGAGCATATCATATCTCTTCTATTTATTGTATTGATTTTTTTTCTCGATACAAATAAAGCACCTCTGTTAATTTCAACTCAATGTCTCTCCATTTCCTATAGTTTAACAATTAAGATCCAACATTGGCTAGCAATAATGTATAGAGCCAAAGTAAATTTATTACAGTGACAATTTATAGCATAATCTAACAACTAATTCTCAGAAAATCAGTTCACAAGCTAAGGAATTAATATATATATAAAATTTGTTCACAAGTGTGCCTAGTCGCACTCATGCACATTCAATTTCTAAAGTTCATGCATCAAACAGAATGTCAAAAACTCATCCACAGCTTAGCTAGAATACTGGATGTCATTAAACGATCACTTGGTAGTGAACAAAATGCCTAAAAGAAAATATATCAATCAAACAACATATACTTCAAAACCTGTCATCAGTGAAAGTGAAAAAGAACTATATTTAAGGTGCACGTAAAGAGAGCCACAAAAACTTTAGTAAAATAGTTGAAGCACTCTCATTCGTGATAACAGTACATGTGTTTGGATTTCAATTAGGTAATTAAGTTGAGTTGAACTCAACTAGAATTTTAAAAAATAAAAAGCAACTCATCATAGTTTTTAAGCTGATTGAAGTTTGAGGTGAACTTTGTTTCTGACTGGATCCAAGAAAAAGGTTCATATATGTTGGCACAGTGTTCAAAGAAAACTGAAACTGAAATCCAAACACACCATAAATCTGTCTCCAGCCAACATCTGAACAAGGCTGCATAAAAATGCCATAGCTAGATTACAAGAATCAATCTTTCTAGCCCTTTTATGTGGAGTAAAACCAACATAACAAGTAAATTCATGTTTTAAGTTAAAACCAGACAAAATACAACAACAATAACAAAGTGGTGGTGCAATTCGTGTAAAAAATTATTACCAAGTAAGGAGATATTATCAGGTTTAGAATCTTCATTCAGAAAGTCTTGCTCCTTCTCAGATTCTTCATCATAATTTTCATCATCAAATACAGAAGCTTTGGATTCCATACATACAGATGCTTCAGCAGAGAAAAATTCTTTTTTTGGCAATAAATAGTCTTCTTCATTGGCAGCCTCTGTCTCTGGACCATCATACTCTTCATCAATATCTTCATAATCAACAGCGTCTTCAGCTTTTTCATCACAGTCTAACATTAAAAGAATCCAAAGTTAGTAAACTATTTTACAGAAAAGCGGAAAAGAGATGCTTATATTGCTCTTTTAAACAAGGCTTCACTGTGTCAAATTCAAACTATTTTCCAGAAATGTTGGAGCATAAGGGTCAGAAATCCTCCCAACAGAAAACAACAATAACAAAATCAACTGTACATCATGCAGAGATACTCTCAAATCCCTCTGCAAATCTGTCAAAGTAACTCAAAATAAATTGAGAAAGCTGTCACATGACTATGTCTTAGGATGACAAAGGAAAATTTGTATAATGCACTGTGCAGGAAAATTACTGTGGGACCCCATGTCTGAATTTCGGGTATGCCACTCAAGAAGACCTAGGGCTTGTTTAGAGAAAACTTCTCCCTAAGCAATTCTCTAAGAAAAATATAAGGAAAAATGAAATTAGTTTTTCTCTAAGATAAAATTAACTTACACAAGTTAAAAATCAGATTTTGGTAAAGCTAATAGGAAATAGTGAATACAAATTAGTCAAATCAAATCACAAGTTAATTTAATTTACAGAAAAACTAATTTCACTTGTTCTTCTTTTTTTCTCTCCTAGGAGAGCTTGTGGAGAAGACTCTCCAAACTGACACTCGGTTGTGCGAGAACCTTGTATGCAAGGATCACAATTCAATAAAAACAAAAAAATCATGGAAACTATCCTTAACCCAAATAAAAATTCAACAGCTGGAGCTACTCACTGTAATTTTCTTGCATTTTGCTTTAAAACACAACAAACCATAAAAAGAGCTCCACTGCATAAAACCTTAACATCCTCTACAGATCAAATCCCAGAGTATTTCATATATCAATTCATTTGGACTAACATGTACTTCCCCAAAGGAAAATCCTTTTGGAGCAAACAGAAGCCAGGAGCTCCGACCCATATTTTAAGTTCCAACCAATATCTATATGTAACAATGTATGGCTTCTAATGAATGACAATTATTCACTCAAGTTAATTAATACCGGTTGCAACCCATCAGAGAAACTTCACATGTGTTTGTTTTATCGATCTACTTCTATTGACTTGTGCCACTGGCCCTTGTTAGCCCCAAGCTTCGGACATCACTACTGATGTTTTAGTTTTACAACTAAAAAATCATGAAATATTTTCCAGAATGGAGAATTACACCAAGAAGGGTTAACTCTAAGCCTACAATACCATATACATACATGCATATATATACATACAAGATGAGGAATGCTAGTGAAACATTCTTTTTAGCTCATACACGACTATTGGTAAAATTAATTAAAAACTAGCAATGAGTTTGTGCTCTGCACAAGAGCATGAGTGGGAAAAAGTGGGCCCAAATTGTACAGAAATGACACATCGCAGCAGCTCAACAGTTTTACAATACTTTAAACTACAAAATTAGGGAAGAGTCATCAATAAGAAGTGAGAAACAAAATTTTGTGATTTTCCAACAAATTTCAATCAACAATACAGCGTGATAGAAAGTATAGTGGCAGAATTTCTCATAAGATGTTCGGAATTTTCTTCTTTCAGAAAGAAAGACAATGAGCTGCTATATGATATTCTCTACCAAACATATGCCGTGTGGGAAAGAATTTCAGTACAAATAAAACACAGGTGAAGTGCTCTCAGTTGATGAGGGAAAAAAATGATACCAACAGAATATCAAAAACTGCATGATATAGTTTTTTCCTGGCAGACTTCACCTTGTTCAACAACGTCAGGTGGTGTTTGTGGTGATTTTCCTGACAACTGCAAACAAATTACTATCATCGTCAAAACAGAAACTGAAGGAAAGAAACACAGTAGGAAAATCTGATAATTAGACACTTCTTAAGAGCCTCCACAGAGAACATTCTGAATTCCAAACTCAAACAGGTAATGATATTTAGATTTACTTACATCTATATCTGTCAGTGATGGACCCAACTTATCGGCTAATGCAGAAAGATGCTCCTTTGCATCCTAAAGAAGAAATAAGCTTATTTAGCACCAGCTTTAAAACTTTTCACCAAAACAGATATACATAAATAAACCAAGAAGCAATTCAACAATCGGTATAATTTAATTTTCATAACATGTATACATATCATAAATTGTGCAATTGTTTTCTAGGAAGACCAACTTTCCTAGAACCTTTAATTTATTATTCCCTGGATCATTCCTAATCTGGCATGCCCATGTCATAGAAAATAGTCAAAGGCATAAAGTAAAGACAGCAGCCTAGTACATAAATTTAATTACGAAAAATCTTATTTTTTGGATTTGTTAAAATTGATTTTGAAGTGGAATAATTTATGTCTTAGATATTTTACCTAAAATGCAAGTTTGAGATATGAAATTCAAAAGTAAAGTTGTTAACCCAAAAAAAAACCACTTTTTATCACTTCTAGTCAAAACCAAGGACTGGAGGCAAAATTGATCCTATCCAACAACCACCAAACATCATTTTCACTGAAATGACGTTTCCAAAAGGCAAAGTAACTTCTGATGTTCTCCAACATGCAACCAAATACACATATAGCAAATAATAAATAAATCTTTGCAGTTTGCACACGAAATACTAAAATCCTCCAAAATTGAATTGCATGTAATTTGGTAATTTAGACTTTATACAATCATACTGAGCAACACAAGCTTCAAAATGCCTCCTTTTTGCTTTCTAGAACTTACAAAGCACGACTCAAGTAAAAGTTCCCCACAAAGTACGAATCTCAAATATAGTGGCTTTAAATCTTCCAAAATAGAAGTTTAGTAAATTAAAAACCTCTACTTACCAATTATAAATATACGATAGCTATGAAAGTTCGTTTGGGCTGTATAACTATCCAGGAAGATAACAGAAACACTATGATTGAGTAAAAAAAAACTACTACAAAGAAATCTAAGCATGACATTTATGCATGCATCAGCTCAATCCTGAATTTCTAAATGGTTTGCCCACCAAATGCAAATGCAACATTAAAGGCGGCATAAAATTACCTCATCAAGATAGTCAACATCGAGATCACCAGAATTATCTACATTTCCAAACATGAACCCAAGAAACCGATTACCCTTGCCAGACTCCTCATATTCTTCTTCATCATCTATCATTTCAAATCCATCAGACGTGGAGTCATAAAACTATACCAAACAACAAACCATATACAATACTAGAACATCACGTGAACTTCAGCTTACAGATATCCTATTTCAGCACATAGCCACTAACTTAAAATTCAGCATAACCATTTCAATCCTACTCCCAATTCTAGCCCCAGATATGATAGCATACAGCCAGAACAAGCGAACAAAAACATGTTCCGATCCTACAGCACTGAACAACTAGACTGCACATCCCATTACGCAACCCTTTTCCCTATTGAAGCAATTTTTTTCCTTTATTTTCATTTTTTTTTCTTTCCCCTGTTCCTACCACTTCCCATGCTACAATTCCCCAATTTTGATTGCAGACACTTACCTTCGTCCCTCCCATCCTGCGAGGGGCTAGCCGAATCGTAACCCATGCTGTCGGACCAGAGCTATACGAATTATAGCCCAATTCAGCACGAACTCATCACAGCAGCTCCAAAACACAATTCCAGCAAAATCAATTTCGATTACTGCCTTCTTCTAGTGCTTCTGTGCCTCGAAAACCCTTTTTAAACTTCATTAACCCTATTCCACTCTGCAATTTTTCCCTTCGTCCCCTAAAGAAAACAAAGCCCGCAAATTAGGTTTCCTCGCCTCGGACCAGATTAAATTCAGCATAACAGAATACTGCCTTGGCCTGTTGGTGAACGTACGAAGGGTTTCGGCGAATCAGCCTTTAGAGTTTATCAGAAATTTCCTAATTGAGTTGCAGCTTGTTGTTATTGCACGGTCTGTTATTTAATTGAATATGAGATCGTTCATTTCATTGGGTTGTCGCGGCAGAGGAGGGAGGCTGGAGCATGCTGACTTGGCAGAGGAGGGCGTTAGGCTGAGAAGACCCTCAAGAAGACGCTCGAGTTCTGCGACCACGTGTTCGACGCCGTCCAGGGTGTTCGTCGAGAAGACCCTTTATTCCGAATTGAGTTGCATGTTGTTGATGCCGCAGGCTGTGTTATTTATTTTGAAAGTGATACCACCAGGGTGATATTCTCGACTCTCCGATTGCTTTCTGCACCCCTTGCTTTCTTTGGCATCCCTAAACTTCTATAAAATACAAAACTTTGTCACAAAACATATCCAAAATACCTATACTTTTTCATAACTTGTAATAATTTTATATTAAAAAATTATAGTGTAATTTTAAGTTACAAAAATCGAAAGTTCTTTGAATAATTAATTTATATATTGTACTATATTGTTTATAGTTTTTAGTGCTCTTAAAATCAATTCATATCTTTGTTAACTTGTTTCATAAAATCAATTGTTTTAATATTACTGGAAAAATACATCCAAATTTAATATATTTTAGATTTTTTATTTTTTTTAATAATATTTTTTTTCAAAAATGGACAATCCGTCAATCCACGTCAACAAGATCCACCCAATATTTCAACCCATTGGGCCAATCCGCGGGTCAAGTCCGGACATGGCCCGGTTTTGTTGAAAGAAATAAACATGTGCTTTGCTCTGCCAGACTCTCATATTCTCATCTCATTTATCTCCCAGACTCTCATCTCCGCGTTTCTCATCTCATAATCTCATCTCACACTACACTCATGCTCAGGCTCTTCGTTCCTCCCACCACCACGAACTCATTCAATTGATCAATTCCTCTTTTCTCCTTGACCCGTCGCTCTCCCTCATAAAATTTCCTCATTCTTCCCCAATTCCACACACGCCGTTCAACCCTAAGTCCCTAAGTCGAGTGGCCTCACTGATTGGAGCAAACCCCCTTCATAGGGTCATCGCGAGTTCGCCGCAGCTGGACAGGTATGCTCGGTGGTTCCGGTGACGAGAACTTGATAAGGTTCCTGCTCGTTTTCCGCTGACGGCAGCATTGCCATTTACGGCGATTTTATCGCCTTCGCTCAACCCCTTCATCACCGGTTTCGTCGCCGGACCGAGCCTAACGGATCATCCCATCTGAACCCTAATTCGTGACAAATTTCGGAGGTGCAGCAGTGAAGGATTTGTCCCCTTCCAAGGTTAAAATTTACCTGACTTTATTTGCAATGGATAATGATGTAAAATAAATGTGTTTTCTCTGTTCTTGCTTTTCTGTTGACTCGCCGTTGTCGTGCTTGTACCTATTTGAGCAATCTGGTTTTCCCGATATCATTTTTCTTTTGGCCTTCATGTTTGTTGGTGTGTGTGGTTGTCTCGATGTGTGTTGTATCTGCTATTTTAATTAGTTTTTGCTTGAGGCATTGCGGTGGCTTTTGACATTTCGGTGGGCTGGTTAGTGATCCTGGAATATTAGAATACATTTCTTTTGGCTTGTGCTTTCATAGCTGCCTTCGTATTTGGTTTATGGGAGATTAAAGTTCTATTGTAATGAAGTATTTCGTTTGCAGTGCACGCTTGGTTGGTTTTATTGTAGGTTGGTTGCTAGAAACATTTAGTGTCAAATTACTTGCCCCATTAGTTGCATTTGCTTTAAATATTTGTTGAACGTAGGTCTCTGCCATATATTTGCTTGGTCTCTTCGTGCATCTTTGAGAATGCTTGCTAGTACTGTACCATAGTAGTTTATAATTTGTCAACTTATAGGGTTAAAAAGCTACCACATGGAAAACTTGGCCTGAAGTTACAGAAAAAAAACTCAAACTGGGTCTCATCAGCAAAAACAAAAAGTCAAAATTGGCGGGCCATCCCGCCCTGTAGGACGGGTTCTGCGTTTCAGCCTGCTCCCATGTTGTGGACCAGCCTGGCCAGGCCTGTTTTAGGAGGGCCGGAGGCTGGTCGGACTAAAACGGTTTGGGTTGCCCCGTTTTACTATCCCTATGTGCAAACGCACGCTATAGAGGGTAGGATTATTTCTCTTTCATTGCAAATTGGGGTTGTGTATGATGATGCATTTCTATTAGTATTGTCTCAAACTTAGAAATATTAAACAGTGACTTAATTTAATTTGTTCTCCTGGACTAGGTCAGATAAACTAAACTAATCGGAGGTGTGCTTAGAGTTGTCATTTTAATTTTCAGCCCATGGGTCGACCCATGCCCTTCTAGAGCTAAACTCCACTTTTGTGACCCACATAACACGGGGCTTTCCCAAAGTCCCTGTCAATCAAAGCCACCATGAAGTGAGTTGGGACAGGACTAGGGCCAGGTTAACCTCTTTCTTTCAAAACTTTATCTCTAGAAATGAAAAAAAATTCTTCTCGATAAATAATCTTCACTCAAGTTCAACCGAAACCTCACATTTCCCAACTGCCACTATCTTCGATGGAGTTCAATAGCAGCACACAGTGATACAGGCGGTGGTGATTGATGACGATCGAGTGGTAGAAGAGGAGATTGTTTGCCTTCTGTTCATCAATCAACAACACCAATTCTTTGTTTCACTTCTGCTGTTTTGTGGTTTTGGAGTGTTGTGTTATACAATGACAATTGTGGGAGCTATTTTCTTCTACATGTGTGAAGTCAGTTACCGAAACGGAAGATGTCTTCAAAACTTGACGGAAAACTTGAAGACTGTTTGTTGAGACTGTTTGTTGAGTTCTTGTGAAACACTGAAAATCAGGTTTTGATATTTATTTATTGTGACACTGTAAAAGCCATTTTGTTTGCCTGGGTGGGGCATCTTTCTCAGCTGCTGTTTGGTTTGACTTTTAGCTTTTAGATATTTTCAATCGTAAAATCATACCGTTGAAACTTCTATTCCTGCTGACTCTTAGTTACCATATACTAACTTTATGAAATTTCTATTTTTTTTATGACCTTATCTTAAGCTTGGTCCACGCAAGTATGAATGTGTTTACATGATTTATTGGTTAAATTGAACGCTACGAGATGAGATTGATCAGGAGTATGTGAGCATGCATGTTTTGTTTTGTTGTTTCTGTCAGTTGGTTTATTCTTATACTATTGGGTGGGTTCTATGTTTTTGCTGTAAGCTTGGGTTGAAAAAGGATTATAATAGGCCTATTGGGTTTTTTTCTGTATTACAATGTTCCAAACTGTGTAAGTTGCAGTTGTGTAGACACTAGAGAGTAGAGAGCTCTCTGTTCCTTTATGTGCCAAGAATGGCTTAGCCTCTAATATACTAATAGGTAACCCTCAAAGGACACTCAAAATTCATATCATGAGGATAGGGGCATGTGAATTTAGTACAATCACAGCTCCACAAACCACACAACGCAGTATATGTGTGGGTGCTTGGGAATCTGCGTTTCTCTCTAACTTGGGTACAGATGAACTAAGGCAAGCCAGAAAAAAATGGAACCAAGACCAAGACATTGCTGAAATTTTCTTTACCTACCGACACTATCCTCTTTTGATTTTTTTCTTTTTTAGAAAAGAAAAAGGAGATGTGGATGAGGATGAGGCCCTGTGTTATCTTCATTCTGGAAAAGAGTTGGTAATGAACAGGGTGAGATGAAAGTGGTGAGGTTTTTCAGGATGGTGGATTAAAGTTAGAATCATTGTAAAACGAAACCATTTCTTGTTTACTGTGATTTGAATGACATCTTTATCTGGCGAGTGTAGATTTTTATCTCCTCAGCTCTTTTTGAAGTAGTATTAAGATGTCCGCTTTGAAAAGTTTTCCCCAATTTGTATCCAGTTGGCCTTATAAGTTCAAGTCGAATTTGCACATCATCTAAAATAGGCCAATGAGATTCAATGATTAAGTGGATAAATTGTATTACCTCTCTTAATTATGTGTATGCCCTAAGAATGTTGCTACAGATCAATCTGGTGATAACAGTGGTATCAATCTGAATGCCTTTCTTGAGAAGAAATATGGTTCAATGTTTATGTCATTAGAATCTGCCTCAATCAATTAATATTTATGTTGAATGGTTATTGCTGAACATGTTCACTGTGCCTAAAACAATTATAAGTTGAATCGAAATGTTCTTGATTGGGTACAATGACAGATTTGAATTTATGATATCAGAGTTTGGTAGATTTTAGTTTTACTGTATTTGATTCATGACCAGCAATTTTTGTTTTACTTTATTATATTTTTATTTCTGATCAGATACTTTTTTACTTAATAATTTTATATCCTATGTGAGAAAAAATTAACTGGGATCTTGTACACAGTTTTATAGGTGCTTGGTAATAGCAGTCTCCCTTTTTGATAATTCCACAATTCATACGTTTTTTTTTCATAGTATATTATGTCTTTCATACGAAAGATTGGTGTATTGGCAGTGAACAATATCAGGATCGGAGACACATAGCTTTTGAGATATTAGTATCTTCTGTTCTGAGCTGTAATTCCTTCGGTGTTCTTTCCTTAGGATCTGTAGTACATAGAATCTAAGATTGATTGGCTAACACAAGCAGCCCAATGGCACAAGAGTAGTTTATTCTCTGAATAATGGCTCTATCAAGATTTTGTTTCTGCTCTGCATGTATTATGAGGCCCAAAGAAAATGCTGGTTCCGTTAAAACAACAGCTACAGATACTGCTCTAGAGAACTTTAAGCAGAAGTGGGAATTATTTAGAGTAGCATGTGATCAAGCTGAGGAGTTTGTGGAGTCTGTGAAGCAAAGAATAGGATCCGAGTGTCTAGTGGATGAGGCAAACAAGGCCTGTGGCAGGAAAACCTGGACAAGCTACCATGACTGGTCTTCCTTCCCATAGTGCATCGGTTGGAACAACTGAGTAAAGCTGTTTCGATGGCTGTCATTGAATTGCAAGCATGTGTTCTGGAGCTGTCTGCTAGTCTCTCTTTCCCATCCCTCAGCTCCATTCGATGGTCGAGGTTTCTGAAGATGCTACTCGTAGCATAATTGGATGATTAATGTTATATATTTCTCTATGCTGATTCTTTCTTAGGGTAGACGGCTTTCGGCGATTTTATATCCATGTTATACGTATTAGCTCTTTTTCACTTGAAAGAATGCACTTCAGTGTTTTGTGCATCTGTGACCACATTCCTAGTTTATGTTGGTCATAATTAAATGTATTTATTTAACCTAAAAAATCGTATGATTCCACTATGATTTATTAAACACTATAAAATGTATACAAGTCGTGGCAATTCCGAAACTGCTTCTCACATAAGACATTACTGAAAGAATTGCTAAGAGGACCAACGAAGTCTACACAGTACAGTATTCTTAAATTCATTCACTCTTAAATTATGAAATTGAACATGTAGAAGATGCCCACAAATTAAAATGTAATTTTGGAATGTACAATTTAAAATAATTTTGTAATATTTTAGTATGCAAAGTCTATATTAATTTTGAAGTATTTTGGATTGATCGTTTCAAAATGTTCTATAATTATTTATTATTATAGGATGTGTTTTGTAGAATAGATTAAAGTTTATTAAAAAAATTGAAATGACTTTAATAGGGGTTGAATATGTTTTTAGTCATTAAACTATTAAGTGATTTTATTTTTAGTTTCTCTTTCAAATTTTGATCCTTTAAAGAAACTATAACTTTTTGTGCTCACCATTAAAATAATAGAATGTCACCTCATTTTCTCTTACACTGAATCAATCTTTCCTTGCTTCTCTCTCTTCCTTTTCCTCCGTCTTCTTCGTTATGTCTTCACGCCAATTTTGAGGTTGCTTTTCACCTGGTTTTTCCCTTTCTTTTGAAGGGAGTCGAGCCAGTTTCGAAGACTGAATCGAATCATCACCACCTTTATCGCCAGATGATACGGGCGTCGCGACCCGTAGAAATTTGATGTGCAATGATGAATAATGCAGTATAGCTAGGATGGGGGGGGGTTTGATTGTTTTGTGCGGAAAATTGAATTAAATTAAAAACAACATTAAAAGCTGAAAGCAGAAAACCGAACGGTTCTAACCAAAAGTGTTAAAACCGAACGGTGATAAAAAGAACGAACGGTCTAAACACTGACCGAACGGTGCAGAGAAGTAAAACAGAGCGGTGACATTGAGACCGAACGGTCTCCGAAAAAGCAAATGAGCGAACGGTCGCTATATACCGAGCGTCCAAATCAGGAACAAGACAAGCCGAACGTGATAGAGCAACGATAATAAAAAGCAAAACAGAGAAACGGTCGAACGATCTCTAATAATGAAGTTAGAGACCGAACGGTTGTGAACCCAGGCCGAACGTCCTGACATTCGACGAACGGTCGTTTACAACAACAAACAGACCGAACGGTCATACACAGAAGTATGTCCGAACGGTATTACGTGTAAAAGCCTACAGCTAAAGGAAATAAACAAGACAAGCCGAACGGTAATAAAGCAAGACAATGAAAATGAGATTGAAAACTAAACAACTGAAGGCAGAAAAAGCCGAACGGTAAAAGTAAAAAAATAAAGCACAAGTAAACATTGCAAACAGAAACCGAACGGTCTTAAGAATGAGCCGAACGGTAAGCATGGACAACGAACGGCCTCCAAACCAACGAAATAGAAATGCAGGAAAGTCGAATCGAACGGTTTAAAGCAACTTAAACAGCAAGGTAAAGGCCGAACGGCCCTACAAGTGACCGAACGGTAGGAACATTAAGACCGAGCGGTCTCTAGACCAATTATAAGCATGAACAGAAGCCGAACGGTTCTAAAGAGTGACCGAACGGTAAGCATAAATGAAAGAGCCGTTCGGTATCTAACAGACCGAACGGTATGACAGTAAAGGCAAGTAAACGGTGCTTTTAACAATGCCGATCGGTATTGACAACTAACGTGTTGAAGACCGATCGGTTCGTCAAAAACCGAACGTTGAAGGTGAGGACCGATCGGTTCCAGCAGTAAAACAGAAATGCGCACAATAAAGCCATCAGTACAAACGAACGTAAAAATTAAATTGCAAACAATCAACAACAGTGTAGACAGTATATATTAAACGACAGATATACAACAACACAGATCATATTACAATAGAAATTAAATCGCATCAGTAAAACAATCAACTATATTCTTTCTTTTGGAAAGAATTTATGTTGAGGAGAAGCGTCTTCGTGTAATACAATTTTGTGTACAAGCGTTCCACCAAGGACATCCTTTCCTTGGTATTTTAAAATAAAATTAAGTATATCTGTGTAGTAGTATGTCTGTTCGTTCTTGAATATTAGTCAAATGATATCTTATATTCACCAAACGCTCGTACTATTCTGTGCTAGGTCTTTCACCAAGCGCTCGAATTATTTAATGGTAGGCCTTTCACCAAGTGCTCGTATCATTTAATGCTAGGTCTTTCACTAAGCTATCCTTCAACTGTATAGTCTCCAGATCCTTCTTATTCCGGTGTATGTTCGATTCGTCCATGTACCCCTTCCACTCGAAGTTACCAGGAGCCGCTCCTTGTCTGTGCCCCCTGCACCATGCCTCTTGCACCGGCGTCACTCCCCGCCCTCGTTAGTGCCCGGATGTCACATGATCAGAGTGGCGCAGCGGAAGCGTGGTGGGCCCATAACCCACAGGTCCCTGGATCGAAACCTGGCTTTGATACCAAAATTGTAACACCCCTTAGGATATATTACTAATAATAATAATAATAATAATCTTGAAGCATGAATCTTATGAAAGTGTTTATTTATTTTTTTTTTAAAAATATACCACACATAAACAAACCATACACACATCATAAGTTCATACATTACAACAAACCAAATCTTAATTATTTCTTAAAATAACAAAATCAAACGAACATAAATAAGAAAACATTATAAAAATCCCAACAAGTTTTATTTCCCGTTTCTCTCGAAGAGCTATTCCAATCCAGCTTTATCTGCAATACCATCTACTCCCGTACAAGTACAATCATCATAGGTGGAAACCACAACCACAACATTTCAGGGTGAGTAACCAGAAATATCACATCATAAACCCATTACATATAAACTATAATAATTTCCATGATTTAATATAATTCGACACACATGACATTGCAGACTAGTCCTTCATAAACAATGTCGTTTACTTGTAATTCGTCGTCATAACCTGCTCTCAATAACAGGCGACCCGAGTCGTCTTCCATCGCGACTTCAGACCTATCTCCCCGACTCCTCAAGTACTAACGAGTAAAAACATCGATACTACGCGTAACGATGCACTATACTCAACACGAGCCGAAGTCATTGGGCGACACATTCACCTCCTCGCGCAGAAGAAGGTGACACTCGAATCTCCGTCTCACGCGAGACTAGCAAAAATGTTAAAAAGGACAGACGAAGTTACAAGTAAATAACATAGTGTATGTACCACCTCCAACAGAGTAAACGTGCTCAATCACGAATTCATACATATTCTCAATAACATGTATAAATAAACCAATATTGGATCAAGGAAATAACCAACAATTCTCAATAATTGCTTCAAAATACTCCCACGGATTCATACATTATTGCCGAACGCTATTTCCAACTCGGATACTGTCCGGACGAACGTTCTGGGATCCATCATCATCAACGACCGAACGCTGCCTATGGACACCAAATGTTATTAAACCGAGCCCCAAAGGACGAACGCTCAAGAGCAAGCGTAGTCGTAAGAATACCTCTGACGAGTGCTTCCTGAGGATCAATATCATCGAGAACGAACGCTCACAATCACAATTAAACCAAGGTCGAACGTCCAAGATCCAAACCGAACACTTAAAGCCGAACGCTCAAGATTGCTACCCAAGAATTTCAAGTTATGAACGAACGCTTATACTCACTAATATCTCAATACCGAACACTCAAATTTAACGCTATTAATCCGGACACGATTAAGACGAACGTTTTGTTACTTAGTCGTACCCCTAGGTGACTTTGCCGAACGACAATAAAAGAAGCATGACCGAACGACATAAATCAGCAGCTAACCGAACGGTGCTAAAATCAAAACTTAACCGATCAGCAGAAACTAACGACCGAACGCTCATTAGTCCCTAATGCCCCAAGGCCGATCGTCCAGGATTCAAAACTTAAGAATAAGCAACTTAAAACCGAACACTCACTTATACCCAGAAACCGAACGTTCAAGATTCAAACCTAAGGTTAGCTTATGACCGAACGCTATAACCACTAATACATCAAACTTACCATTTAAGATTCAAACTTAGAATATCAATTTAAGGCCGAACGCTCACAAGCTAAACCTGAGAATACCTCATCAAAACCGAACGCTTACGATTATCAAAACCGAACGCTAAGGATCACCAACTGAGACTACCAAATTAAAACCGATAGTTATAATCACTATTATACGAAGACCGATTGTCGAACGCTCATTTATACCCAAAAAACCGAACGTTCAGGATTCAAACCTAAAAATCCATATTAAGGACGAACGACTGCAATCACTAATACTCAATACCGAACGCCCAAGATTTACTTCTTGTGGATGCCAATTTAGGGACGAACGCTCAAGTTGAAACCTAGAATACCAATTGATAACGAACGCTCACAATCTGTACAATGCGAATACTAAACTAAGTACGAACGTCTAACATCTCTAATTCACTGGATAATATCATTGACGAACGTCTAATATTTAACTAACTTAAGGACGAACGCTAACGCTCGTTACTGGAGGAGGCAAGATCGAACGGTTAATTTGTCCGACCACGAGCACTAGTTGAGCAAACGCTCGTTCCACACATTATAATTTGGCCGACCACTATTTGGTCGAGCACCAATTGGACGAACGTCCAATTTTAACTCACCAAAATTGGACGTACGCGCATTCTGCTGAATTCTGCAGAATCGCACCAGATTCCAGAAACCCCAATTTCATCCCCTTCTTCCCAGATTTTACCCAGATTTGCAGCAAACACATAATATCTCAAAAATCAAGGAAATAAATCAAACTCCCCTTACCTTCTACCCATCATACAATATACATGCCCCATCAAACATACATATATAGTCTAGTTTTTAACTACCCCAACATGCATACAATTATATAAATCCTAGTTTCTCCCCTTACCTCTAGTTCCAGTGAGTTTCCACAACCCTTTGAGGTTCAAAGCAAAGACCAAAGATGGCTTTCTTTCCTTGCGTAGCAGTGCTTCCCACAATTCAAAACTACACTCCCAACCTATGATTTAGCATAGTATCTGTATATTCCTCCACT